GATAGTGACGATACATAGTGTTATTTTATTGTGACTTAACTATTTACTTATATACATTCGTGTTTTAATATTATATATTATTGCACTAGTATAGATAATAAATTTATCTTGTAAATGTGATCGCGGCAACAGAGTGTTCTTTAGTGATTATGTCTGACGACGAGGCACTAACACCTCGGGCACGAGCGAGGACATCGCCTGAGGGTCTGACGCGACCTAGTGTTGCACAGCTTGTAGCAGGAGCGGAAAAGCGGCAGTTTTCGTCGCCTGAAGAGGGCCAGTCCAATGCGCAGCGTATGAAGGCTCTGCGTAAACGTGTCGAGCAAGAGTCTGCATCTCCAATGTCTAGCCTGTACTCCATTGCGGGTAACTCACGGGAAGGCACGGTACAGGTAACGGACATAGCAGCTCAGCAGGTAAGTGAGCACCGGGCATCCACTTCCTCTCGGCAGGACATAATAGACCAGGTAAGATGTACCGTACGTAACATAATGGAAGTTGTAACAAATTCTAAACTGAACAAAGCTGACACAAATAAAATCGCAGCATATGGACACGACCTAATAAGCCTGATGGCAGCAATGGAGGTGCGAGCTCTGGAATTGGAATTAGCAGCGGCAAAATCTGAGCAGAAGAAAGCAGAAGCCGAGAGGAAACTGGCGCAGTCGGATCTAAGGGCATCGGTTGGAACTATTGACCCATCTCTTACAAAAGGAACTTATTCGGCCGCACTTAAGCTACCGAAAGGTAAAGACCCCATAAGCATGCCAGTTTGCAAGGGCCCCGTTTTGGCCTTCTATCCAGCGGAGCCAGAGGGCCCTTTGAAAACGGCAGAGGACACGAAAGCGGAACTTAAGAAAAGTGTCAATCCAAAACAAGCTGGCATCCAAATAGACAAGGTTCGGAAAGTTGGTAACGCCGGTGTGGTGGTTCAAACTACATCTCAGGAGGCGGCATTAAAACTCAAGACTGCTGTTCCCCGATCCCTACGTATAACTGAACCGCGTCAACGACTTCCACTGGTAGCATTAAGGGGATTCGATGAAGACCCTAAAGAAGAAGACGTCCTCCAAGGGCTGTACGAGCAGAACATTGAGGGAAGTGAACATGGATGGTCCTTAGAAAGTCTTAAAAAAGAAGCAAGGGTGGCTTTTAAGAAAACATGGAGGGGAGGCCACCGCACTACAGTCGTGCTTCAGTGCTCACCTAGGCTAAGAGATTACCTCGTCTCACAGACGAGATTATACGTCGGATGGGACGTGGTCGTTCCATGTGACTACATCGAAGTCACTTGCTGCAATAGGTGTCAACAATATGGTCATCCCGCTAAGTATTGCCGATCTAAAGAGGAAGTTTGCGGCAGATGTGGAGACATAGGTCACAATAAAGAAGCATGCAAGTCCACAGTGGAGCGGTGCGCCACATGCAAGCGCTTTAATAGACCAGATGCTAGCTCCCACACAACTATGGCTAAGGTTTGTCCGGGCAGAATGCATGCTGAAAATAGAGCGGTCGCCACTACTCAATATGGATAGGACCGGAACCTTAAAAATAGGGCAGTTAAACTTAGGCCGTAGAGAATTAGCCACTGAAGAACTGCCGATAATATCGCGCGAACTCGAGCTAGACGCTGTTTTAGTCCAAGAACAATTTCCTCGAACTGACCGAATTTTACAAACAGGCGGCCAGGCGGGCGCAGGAATATTTATTGCTAACAACCGTACAAGTTTCTGTGTACTTCATCACCTGTGTAACGACTATTGTGTGGTGGGTCATTTTGGTGAGTGGAATATTTACGTGGTGTCAGCTTATTTTAAATATAGTCAACCTATAGACGGTCACCTGCGCCACTTAGATGTCGTGGTAAATTGTCTAAAAGGAAAGAAAATCATATTCGGTCTAGATTCTAATGCTCACTCACCGCTTTGGTATTGCGAACGACGACAATACGCTGGTCGAGGTCACGAAGTAGAATACCGGCGGAAACAAATGGAAGCCTTTATAACAGCTAGAGGTCTTCATATAATCAATTCCCAAGGCCAGCCAGCAACATTCGCCGGTGAACGAGGGGAATCCAATGTTGACCTAACGCTGGCATACGGGGGTGTCATCGTGGGGAACTGGAAAGTACACGACTGCGTCAGTTCCAGCGACCACAGACTTATAACTTATGATGTGTCCATAACTAGACAACAGTCTGACAATGAGCCGGCTAGGGATCCCCCGCGTTTTCGAGATCGGGGTGTGGATTGGGCACGCTTCCGCGGGGTAATCCAATTAAGGCTGGGACGGATGAATGTAAACAAGCCGGCTGCACATTTAGCAGAAGCCTTCTCCGATATCGTCACCCGCACTGCGGAATGCGTGCTCGGAGAGGTGCGCACTAAGCATGGTTGTGGTCATGAATGGTGGACGCCTGAACTGGATAAGCTGCGAAAGGAATACTGTAAAGCGCGAAGGGTATGGCAAGGTAAGAGAAGAATAGGAGGCAGGTCAGAAGAATTGACTAGAGAGGCATATCACAGTACGAGAGCGAGATATAGAAGAGTAATGGTGGAGACGCAGCTTGCATTCTTCCATAAGCGTGCTGAGTCTGGCAACCAAGATCCCTGGGGGCAGGCGTATCATTTTGTTAAGGGAAGTTATCGCGTTCCTAAGAACGTCATAAACGCAACTTCTTACTCGCGAGGCTACTCTGGCACGGTGGAAGAGGCCATGCGCAATCTAATGACTTCGCTATGCCCAGACGATGACGTCAACAAAGACACTACATATCACCGGTTAGTGCGAATGGTCTCCACCTTTGTGCCGAGCGGGCCAAATGCGTCTCCGCCATCCGTTGAGGACTTGGGAGTTATAGTCAAGGCTCTGCCTAATACTGCTCCGGGTCTTGACGGAATAAGCTCTAGAATCGTGAAGAATGTATGGCATGCGGCACCAAAGGAATTTCACCTGGTGTTTGCCAAATGTGTGGAAGAGGGTGTGTTTCCAAGGATATGGAAGGATGGCAGGTTGATTGTATTATCCAAGGGTAATAACAAACCCCCTACAGACCCCAAAGCGTATCGCCCAATAACGCTCCTCCCAATCATGGGTAAAATACTGGAAAGGGTCATACTCAGGTGTGCTCCCTCTTTATCGCGCGGTATCTCAGTGTACCAACACGGATTTTCTCCGGGACGATCCACCGTTACGGCATTGCGATCACTGCTCGGCACCGTCAAAAACACGCAGTCTACCTATGTACAAGCCATCTTCCTCGATATTTCTGGGGCCTTTGACAATGCTTGGTGGCCGATGATACTGGTTAAGTTAAAAGG